TAATATATATATATATATATATATATATATATATATATATATATATATATATATATATATGATCAACAATATATATCCTAACAATTACAAACTTTCAAATATATATATCTTCATAGGCAAAAGGGTTTGATGGACCCTTGTACTTGTATATGTTTGAATTAAAACCCTTCTACTTGCCCCTTTATCATCTGAACACTTAAACTTATTGAAACACAATATTTTAGACACTAATTTTGACTTGAGATCCTATGTGGTAGCTGATACCAGAGTGTGTGTAACACACACCTATTAAGAGCGTGAGAACCTTGAAAAAGGATCTAACAGTCACATTAGAACTTTTATATAGACATCATCTTTCTAGTTGGATCTAACACCATTATTGGACAGAATTTGAAATTTTCTTGGCATTTTATTTATTTTTATCTTTTCTCCCAATTTTTTTCTCTATTGTTTATTGGCATTATACTGCTCTATTTATCATAAAACACGCTATGGAAGACAAACAATACTTTCAAAACATCTTACTAACATTATGCATAAAACAAAGTAAAAATTAAAAAAAAAATTCAACAACATCAATGTAATCCACTAAAACCTAAAAACTAACAAAGACACAAATAGAAGATGAAATCCAGATTAAACAACTAATTAATTCAAAAATAAATTAAAAAACCTACCTAGATAAATTGAAAATCAAACAAAAGCAACAAAAAAAGCTTGTATAATTTTTGAGATTGACTATTGCTTCAGACATCTACCACTAAAATGACTCATATTTCAGATCCAAAAAAACATAAACTTATTGTCTTCCTCTCGTCCTCTTCACCTTCTCCGATCAAAACACCTTCATTTTCACCGCCTCCGACAAGCTTCAACCAGCAGGTGTAAACGAAAATCAACAACGATAACAAAAATATCAAATCAATTCCCCCAATAAGTCTGGACCTTCTTAACGCCACCAATCCTAAGCTAACAATCAGACCACCCAACAAACCCCGCCTCTTCCTTAGGCTATCGGTCACCATCGAAATTCCCAATCCAGTAAAGTTCAAAATCAACTTCGAACTCCATCAAAATTGTGAACAATCAGAAATCATGCCAACATAATTGACTTCAATGGAAAGAGTAGAAGAAGTAGTAAAAAGGAAAAAGTAAAGAAAATGAGAAGAAGGGATGAAGTGAAATTATGGGCATAGAGACAGTTATAGCAAACAGAAATAAAAATTGGAAGAAAAGTGTTGCTACATTAATCTAATATAATAAAAGAAAAATTGACGTGGAGTGACTGTGGGCGTGTGCGTGCGCGTGCGTGCATGTGTTATTTTATAATCATACGTGTCATTTTATAATTATTTTTAAAATTATGTGTCGAGTGAATGTGATACACACAATTGAGTGGTAAAAAATGTGTTTAAATGTTGTGTTTCGATGGATGCAAGCGTTCAATTGAAAAATGAGTAAGTTGAATGATTACAATATAAACTCATACAAGTACAAGGGTCTACCAGAACTTTTCGCCTAATTTTATATAAATTCACAATGTAACATTTCATCAATAGTAATAACTAACTTATTTTTTAAAATACAATCCTTTCACATGGTACAAACAATATTTTCACACTGAATATGTTTTTTTTCACAAAATTTAAATGAAGAATCTTAATTTGTGAGTCTAGTTTTACATTTTTATTTTTAAAAAAAAAATTGAAATCACTACTTGAAATTTTACTTTTTGGAGAATTGAAATTTTAAAATTGGCCTAAGTCATTCACAACCACTTAAAGTCGTCATCATATTTCATTTAGATACCTCAATTAAGGGATGTACCTATTGAACTCTTAAACCTTAAAAAATTTATACCTATTTGATACAAACTGACAATCAGTTGAAAAAAATAAAAACGTGTATCTCAAACGCTAAAACATAATAGATTTACCAATAATATGATGACACGCGACATTATATTTGACTTTTTAAAGCACTACTTAATTAATTCGAAAAGTATTTTAGAAAATTAAAAATTCTTTTTTTAATTAACAGCCTCCACTCTCTTTCCCCTTCTTCAAAAGACCTATTTCTGATTTTCCTGGAGCCGGCGTCGGCATCGACTATGACAGTAAACCATCACTTCACCCTTTTTCTTCTGTTTTATTTGTATCAACAGTACAATAATACTTGTTGTTCATTCAAGCTAAACACTCATTCTCTTTCATTTCGATATCATTAAAATCTTTCACTCATTGTCTTCATCTTTTCTATATTAGTAACTATTTATTAGAATTGAAAAAAATTATTTTTTTCATTATGATAAATGGGATTTTTCCAAAATATTTGAGACGTAAATCAACATAAGAAGAAAAAAAAAGAAAAAGCACGAAACAACACAAGAGGATGAGAGAATGAGAGGTGGAGGGAGTGTGGTGTACGTGTGTGTAAAAAATGGTAAAAAATGAAGGGGGAAGAAGAAGATTGGTCTTTTTTGTTTGTTAATTTTTTTTTATTAATTTAGGAGTATAGGTTAAGGAAAAAACAAAAAAAACTATTTTTAATAACTTAACGCACTCAAAGAAAGTGAATCACACATTTTTGTCATGTCAGTATTTTGTGTCTAATAGAAATGACTTTTGAACAAAAAAGGTGTTCAATTGACACATGAATAAGTTGAGGTGTCTAAGTGAATAATGCGAACAACTTAAAATGGTTGCAGTTGACTTAAGACATATCGTTTGAACCTATATATGGAATCATGATTCAAAATCACATTGGTTGAAGTAGAAGTTTTGTTAATATGGATGCAAATTCTTATAATCTCTCTGTTTTAAAAAGAATGACCTACTTTTTTTTAGTCTGTTTAAAAAAGAATAACATCTTTCTTTTTTTATAACAACTTTTCACGTGTCATGTTTAAGGCTATAAGATTACAAGACAATTTTGTATATTTATAACTTTAATTTAGGACCACATAATTAAAAAATTTCTTTATTTTCTTAAACTCCGTAACAAGTCAAATTAGACCATTCTTTGTGAAACAAAGAAAATATAATTTGACCTAACAAACAAAGCATAATTCTTAATTAAAATATCAAAACATTATGACAAACCACTTTAATAAATCATATATAGCTTTTAAAAAACGATCTACAAAAAATAAATCATGAAAAATTTATCACAAAGAAAATATAATTTGACCGAATAAACAAATCATAATTCTTAATTAAAATATCAAAACATTATGACAAACCATTTTAATAAATCATATATACCTTTTAAAAAACGATCTACAAAAAATAAAACATGAAAAATTTATCAAACCAAAAATACTTCAAGTTGGAATAACTACCTTATTTAGTAAAAAGAATTAAATAAAAAGACAACTATTTATGAAAGGGTAATAATAATGATAGACTCCACCCCAACTATGACTTGTTGACATTTTCATTGTTCTTCTTCAGACAACACAACAGAAGAGAATAAAAACCACCTCTTCTTCCCTAACACCAAATTTTCTTTGGGGGAAGAGAGACTCATATGTGTATCTATTTGTAATTAACAAGAAAGAGGGTATCAGGGTTTTTGATTTTCTTGATGAATTGAAACTTGATCATTCTACACTTGTTAATTTCTGGAGGAATTGGGGAAAAAATTAAAATGGAATTGGTTGATCAGTCTGAATCTTCTCCTTTGGTTCCTCCTTCTGTGATCACTGACACAAGTGAGATCGATCTTGAAGCTGGTTCTAGTGAACAGATTCAGTGTAGGATTTGTCTTGAGACTGATGGTTAGTTTTCTTTATTTCTTCATTTCACCCTTTCTTTCATTCTTTATTGTTCGAAATTTTAGTTGGTTCTAGTGTATTAATTGGGAATTTTGTGGTGTTCCTAACTGTAAAGCTAGCTGTTTTGGGTGATTCTTGAGGACCCTTTTATGGAGTGAAAGTATTTTGGTGAATTTGTCTTGAAAATATGATGCCATAACCCCAAATGTATTAATTGGAATTTTTGTGGTGTTTCTAAATGTAAAATAAGCTGCTTTTAGGTGTTTCTGGGTCATTTGTTGTTTATTTCATTCTATAACATAATATCATTTGCCTCGGTGATGGATGTACTAATGAAACATATTCAAGGAGATGTGGAGAGGTGCCATGGTATATGTTCTTTGCAGATGACATAGTTTTGATTAACAAGACACTTGACGAAGTTAACGATAGGTTGGAGGTTTGGAGACAGAATCTGGAGTGTAAAGGGTTTTTAGGTTGAGTAGGATTAAGATTGAATACTTGGAGTGCAAATTCAGTGAAGTAACTTTTGTGACACATGCGGGAGTACAGATTGAAACACAAGTCACTCCCAAGAAAAGAAGTTTCAAGTATTTGGAGTTAATAATATGATGATGTTCCACATCGTATTGGAGTAGGTGGACGATATGGAAGCTCACATTGCTGTCTTGTGTGATAAGAATGTGTCAACAAGCATTGAGGTAAGTTTTATGAAGTGGTGATCAAACTGGCTATGTTGTATGGGGCAGAGTGTGGGCCATTCAGAGCTCGCAATGTCACATGCCCAGAGGATGAGAGTAACGTAAATGAGGATGTTGAGATGAATGTGTCAACATACTAGGTGTGATAGTATTAGGAACAAAGCTATCTGGGACAAGGTGAGAGTGACCTCTTAGGTGAAAAAGATGAGGGAGGCGAAATTGAGATGATTCGGGCATGTGAAGAGAAGAAACACATGTCTCAGTGAGGAGGAGTGAGAGGTTAACTACAGTAGGTATAAGTAGAGGTAAATGTAGACCAAAGAAGTCTTGGGAGAGATGATTAGATATGACATTCATTAACCGAAGACATGACCTTAGATAGGCAGATATGGAGGTTGAGGATTAAGATAGAAGGTTAGTAAGTCGAGTGTTGTCTAGTTTCATTTTCAGTATCGCTGTGAGGAGGAGTGAGAAGTTAACTACAGTGGGTATAAGTACAGTAAAGGTGTAGACCAAAGAAGTCTTGGGAGAGAAGATTAGATAAGTCATTCATTAACCGAAGACATGACCTTAGAAAGAAGACATGGAGGTCGAGGATTAAGGTAGAAGGTTAGTAGGTCGAGTTCATTTTTAGTATTGTGTTATTATTACTTCCCTGCTATCTTATTTTTTATTTTAGTATTACCTGATGTTTTTTCATTTGCTTTCGTTATCTATTACTTTGCTACCGTTCTCTTCTTTATTGTTTTCAACATGACGCTATTATATTCGCTTTATATACTTGTTTTTTAAATGCTTACTTGAGCCGAGAGTCTACCGGAAATAGTCTCTCTACCTTCTCAAGGTAGGAGTAAGGCTGCGTGCAGCCGTGCAACACCCTCCCCAGACAATTACACTGGGTATGTTGTAGCATAACATTATTGGGTTATATGTGCTGAACTTGTGCTGTTTCAGAACTGGGATGTGCTTATAAATGTTTTTGTTTTTTTCTTTTCAGGTAGGGATTTTATTGCACCTTGCAAGTGTAAAGGTACATCAAAGTTTGTTCATCGGGAATGCCTGGATCATTGGCGTGCAGTGAAAGTATGTTTTTCATTTTTGGCTTTTGAATCTGTATTACTTGAGCAGTTTTAACCTTGTTATTGTCGAAAGTTGCCTTGTTGCCTAATTGCTTTTGTGTTAGTCAGGCACTCCATCAAGATTTTTATCATTTCTTATTCTTTTAGCCGGGCCTAAATGGATGAATGAAGAAGCGCGCCCGGGTAGACTTGAGCTCTTGGTCGACTTAAGAAGCACGAAAAAAATTAGCTCACTCGACTGAAAGGAGAGGGATGAGAGTAGTCTTTTTCCAATAGGCTGGCTACCTATTGCAGGAGTTCCTGACCTGAAAGGACACCAGCAAGCTGCTACTAAATGTGAACAAAGTCAAGGAGATGGAATCAACTCAATAGAATTAGGTTTTTTTATGACTGCTGAAGTGACCGAATGAAATGTTGGATTGATTCAATACCGAATCCCAGATCTCCATAGACGACTAATGGTAGGGGCTGCATTTTTAGGAAAGAAAGATAGTGGCAAAAGGATGTTAATCAAAAACCGACGTCTCATGCCGACCAGGATTAGGAATACGCGTAATCGGACCTGCTTTTTACATATCTCTATTGGGACCCTATTCACCTCTTTGAGTGAATCGAGAAATAGGTTTGATGGGGTACCTGCTACCTCCCATCAGTTGCCCACCAAGACTTGGACATGTCGAAAAATAGGAAGAATTCACCTAGTGTTTTTGTCTCCGTTGGAATTAGAACATCAGATTTTATGACACTCAAGTATCCACTCCACTGATTAGTAGGTCGCAGCGTTGGGTGCTAGAATACTGTTATTCCTTACCTTACTTGGAATTAATTTGTTCTTGTATTGATGCATTAAAGTGGGGAATCAGGATTTGATTAGTGTCATTTGTACATATATTGACCATGTATAGCTTTGGACTAGGCACTTTACTTGCAAGAGTCATTTTTCGTGTGCACTTTTCATTTCAGCACTAATTATTTGATAAAGTAGTTGTTGAGGCTTTCCTTTCATAGAAGCAATGTCTGCATAAGAGTGCTGATAACTTCCAAGCAATTTACAAATTACAGTAAGCAATATTCACCAGAATTATATTTATTTTCGGTAGCTAAACAAAATTTGTATTTTACAGGAAGGATTTGCTTTTTCCCATTGCACAACTTGCAAAGCTCCCTATTACTTGAGAGTTCATGTTCCCACTGATAGAAAGTGGCGAACTTTGAAGTTCCGATTCTTTGTGACCAGAGACATTTTGTTCATCTTTCTCGCAGTTCAGCTTGTAGGTGGTTGGTCCTGTTTACAAATTTTGTTCTTTGATTTTCTGAAATATCCTTACCTTATTTATAGAGAACATATCCAACTGAGCTCTTACCCTTTTCATTGCAGGTTATAGCCTTGCTGGGATATTTAGTTTTCTTGATTGACACCCACCATAAGTCTTGGTTGCGTTTTACTTGGGGGTTTGATAGCGAACTAAGCTTCTACTATCTATGCGGTAAACATCTTGAGCTTTCCACTAGTTATTATTTGTTAAGTCCTGATGTTTTTTTTTTGATTGGTTGTATGTGCTAAATCATGGTGTTGCCTATGACAAAAGAAAAGATATGTTAAGTAATGATATTTCATGTTGTCTTGTCCTGTAAGTTCTGTTGTGACAATCTCCTTTACTCTCCCTCTCTGGGGCTTATATCCTTTTCTTCATTTGTTTGTTTCCTGGACAAAATGAAATTTGTGATGGTTGATACTTAAAAAACGTCCAGAGAGGAAGTAGGATGTTTCTGCTGTAGTGCTTCTATAGGTTACTAAGAAGAGATGTCACAACGTTCTGCATCTATCAGTTTGACTTCCCAAAGCTTAGATAAAGCTATGTATTTTCAGCTGGTTGGCAACAAGGAGGGCATAGCTGAAATTTGAGAGGATATAAAGTAGTTGTCATGTGCAAAGTTTAGGAGAAAATGTGAATCACCTACTATTGCTTTGTCTGGTGGCAAGGCAATTGCCTATTTGCCATAAGAAGTGAGCATTTTCTTAAGCATTGAACCATAGGGAATTATGACCAGGGGCAGTGTAATGTCCCTGATGGAGGGCGAGACTGGAAAATGGTTCAACGGGCTTCAAGGTTGGGAAGTTTTTGAAGAAGGGTGCATATAACGCCTTAGGAGAATCCCACAATGTAAAGGGAGAGAAAAGTAACATGCCTTAACATAACATAGATTTAAATGGTATGTACGCTTTTGAGCTCGATGATGGAGTAGCAAGGGACAAATAGGTGATGTCTAATGGGTCAAAGCAGACGATATGTGCCATGGGCTTGGGTTATGACAAATATGTATCAAGAGTTGGACCTCCCGCAATATGATAGTAGGGCAAACCTCGGCTAGGAGGCTGAGTCCCCAAGGGATGTCTATGTGGCATCCTTGACGAAGGGTGGGTCAAGGACAAGGTTTGCCATGCTTATAGGTTGACAAGATGCATATACACTTTAGGCAAACCCGACATTAGAAGGGGAGAGAAAAATGATGTGCCTTATTAGACTTGACGCAAGTTTACTTGGTGCTCGTGTTTTTTATCTCGATAATGATGTAGCCCAACGTATAATCCATGAGGTCTATTAGGTCAAAACTAACTATTTGTACCATGGGCTTGGAATGTGATTTCAACTACCAAATTGTGATAGAATATCCCCCCCCACCACAAAAAAAACAAAAAAAAACCAAGAATATGTTTGATGTCGGTTTTTAGTGTATCAACAAATACAAAACACCAGCTGATGTGCATTCTCATTAACAAAGCTGTTATGGTAGAATTCCATGCCGCGACCCACACAAACGTTGTCCTAATTGCTTCGGGAGGAAACTATCTCCTCTGTTTCGCAGAATACCATGTAAATGTCTTTACAAGAAAATATCTTCCTAGGTTGCCCTTTGTTGTGATGTAAAATCCTAGTTCTTGAGATTTACATAGTTTAGGTCATTCTTAGAGCATAATAGAAGCATGCCGAACACTTGATAACTAGCAAAGATTTAATAAAACACATGCATGAATAGCTTCCGTTATATAATTGTCATAAGTAGATGCATAATTATCTGCTGAAGCACTGGAAGTTGCATAATCTTGTCATCATTTAATCCCTGTATTATATTTCTCACATTATAATCCCTGTATAACTTGCTCATGGCCAAACGATCCTAAAGTGCTTGTTAAAATTCAAGATTTCAAGGGGTTTATAAATTACGGGACTCGTATGTTTTCCTTTTAATTTCTACTTCTGCTAGTAGTTTATGGTTTTTATTTGAGATATGCTTAATTAGTACCTTTTTCACTGCAAGAATATTATAAATCAACTAAGTGGACCATTGATCTTTTGTCCCCCCAAGTTCATCTCCATCCATCATTTGGAGGTTCTCTCAGAAGTAACAAAAAATAGTCCAAACATAGTGGGAAACTGAGAACGCTGGATAAAAAGATAAAGGCACATCCGGTAGCATTTTCTCCAAAAAATTTAGTCCAACAGAACTATAGAAAATGCAAAAAAGGGATAGAAATAATCATTTCCATGGGGTGATTATATGGTGAATCAAACCTAAGCAGCTGTATCGTCCCTATTATGTGGGAGAGTTAAAAAAAAGGAAGGTGGGTATCATTGGTGTGGGGTAGGATAGGGGATTAGATATCACATATGCTTTTTCATATAAATGGCACTGAATAAATGTCGCAGAACTAAAGATCTTAAGATAGATGTGCAGTCATACAAGATATGATAAGATTAGTCACTTTTGATAATGGTTGCAAGTAGATCACATAAATAAAACAACAGAATTGTTTAGATGGCGTATGATCGTGTCTGATGTATGCCTCCAGATGAAGCAATGATGATTTGATTTGATGATGGGAAGTGTTAGACAAGCCACAAAGCACATAATCTCTTGGAAGTTTTAAGACACAATAGAAGTGAGGGATCTATATAGGTGATACCAATGTATTATGCTTAGGGTTTAGTTGTTATAGTTCTAACTTGCATAATGTTTAGTTGTTAGGTGTAGATTTAGAGAACTTACCGTTTCAAAGAATTTCTAGTTTTGCTTACAACTAACTTCTTGTAATGGAATGAAATAGACTTGATTAGAGAGGACAGGATGGTGTTGTGAAATCTAAATCAGGCTGGATGAGTTGGTGGGACTGGGACCCTGGGGTGCAGGGTGGAGGTTTTAACCTCGTCTTATCAGTATGCAAGGTGTGGAAGAAATCAGTATGGGAAGGGCCAAGCATTTCAGTAGGCAAGTTATTCCCACCAGATGCATTTCAAACCACAATATAGGTACGCCTAGATTGTTTAGAGGATAGCTCATATAATGCGAGGCTGTGAGCCCCTCATCCTCGACCATGTGGTGAAGAATCGAGTCTCACTTATGTAATATCTTCCTCTGATTGTAATAAATTTTAAAAAGAGATTCTACAAAACAAAACCAGACTGTGGATGAGTTTTTTACACTCCGGTCGGGTATTGGTGTATCAAAAGGCCCCTTAAACTGTTTGCTTGTTTTTGATTTTGAGTTAGTATTAGTAGATGAAAATGTCTTGATTATAAGATCCAGTTGAGCGTGAAAGATATTTGTCATGCAAAATATTTGCTTGTCTATCCCAAAGTATTTGGTTTTCACCTTTGCATTCCTTGTGATGACGGCATGAAGCAATGCAGCAGCTTCCCCAACATGAGAATACGGGGGCCACCTCAAAATTACAGGAGAAAAAGAGAAACAAAAGGAGCAAGAGACGGAGAAAAAGGGGATTAAGTATCACAGCATCATTGGTCTGTTTCTTGTTAATCTGGGTGCAGTAGCATTAGTCTATTTCTGTATATCTTGGCAAGAGACGTCTGATTCCTTTATGTCCATCACGGCACTCAAGGACCAAAGATGGTGCATAATTTTTCAAAGGCACCCAAGGATCAAAGATAGTGCATAATATTTTTAAATAATTGATAGTTATTGCAATGGGAAAATTGTTTTTGTTATTCTTCGTGATCAATATATGCTTACCATTTAATGATATTCAACTTAAGTATTCACATCCTCTAAAAGAAGATAAAAGAAACTAACTTTGAGGTATTGATTCGACAATGTACAGGGGCACTTTTATTTTTCGCTCTGCTAGGCTTATCTGGTTGCTTCATCACCTGTTATGATCGAAGAGTGCGCAATGATTTGGCTCAACCCTGCCGCGAATTATGCCTTTGCTGTTGTCATCCTGGGTAAAGAATCTTGACTCGTCGTTAGTAATGCGCTTAATACTGTACTCTTCTTCCTTGTTGCTCTCATCATCAATCGAAGGAACAAGTAAATGAAGGTTGACCAATGCAAGAACATTTTTCTGTTACATCACTTTTGTACTCTTGATAGACTGCAACATAGCAATTAAGCATTGTCATGAAGTTGTGTTTGTTTAGTTTTCTGGATAATTGTTATTAAGTCTTAAGTCTCTCCTCCGTCCTCTTTAGGACAAAATAATTGTGTTGTCATTCTGAAAATCTGCTGCTTTGTTTGGATGTGTCCGCCATCTATTGTTATACATGCTAAAGCTGTTTTTGACGGATCACCTGTTATCATTTATTAATTTTTATATTAATATTTTATCCGGTTTCTACTGCTTTAGCATCTTGTACAACAAAAGTGCGAGAAATTGTGCTCTCTGATCTCTTTCTTGTGTTTCTTGTGATGCTACTTGAGGAATGATTTGTAGTTTTCTTTTTCTGATGGCTGTTGCATCATCGTTATCTTATGATGCCCTTGCAGAATGTGTGCAGACTGTCATTTGCCTGGTACACTTTGTATGTGGACTGATTGCACAACATGCTTTGAAAGTTGTGCTGGTGCGGCCAGTGAATGTGGAGGTTGCTTAGGAGGTGCCGGTGAAGCTGGGTTGCCGCTAGTACTTATAATGGCTTTGATTGTGCTAGGACTATTTACCGTCATCGGCATATTTTATAGTGTTTTGGTTGCTACAATGGTTGGACAGAGAATATGGCAGAGGCATTACCATATACTTGCAAAAAGAATGTTGACAAAGGTGCGCTTAACCGTATTCTATGTTTTGTGCTTTCTTGTCATTCCTTCCCAATCATTGTCTTGAACCCTTTCACGGAGAGGCGGTTCATTAAAATGTTATATTCAATAAATCCTCGAGTACACGATACCACTCATAATTTGAGGCATGATGACTTCTACAATTCTTAATATGTTTATCAGCAACTACCTAATGATATGTTTGTTAATCTTTTGAAGGAATATGTTGTGGAGGATGTCGATGGTGAGGTCAACGGAAATGATTGGTCTCCGCCAGCTCTGCCACCAGAGCATGTTCAGCAGCTGAAATCACTTGGACTTATGTAAAAAAATTGAGGATTTTGACGTAAAGGAAACTCCATACAACTGGGGCTCTCATCATGAGATTTGGTAGTATAAGCAGTTTGACCTGCAAGGCATAGTAAGGTCTGTGTACAATCGTACCCTCTCTGGACCCTCTATGTGGGATTACATAGGGTATGTTGTTGTAGTTAAACTTGCAAGAGAGAAGATCCCTTTCAGCCCAATATTGTTCATATTTTGAGAATGATCACTTGTAATTGTTAACAAAATAGACCCCCCTTAACAATCCAAATGAATTAACAGCTGCAATTCTAGTTCTAGTAGTTCTCTATTGTTATATCTGTTTGATCTTTCCAAGTATGTGGAATTGTTTTGCTTTGCTTTTTAAGAAGAAAAATTGAATATTTGCTTGTCAACAAGAAGCTGAATTTGTAGTTTGGGGTATTAGAATGAATTGTATGTTGTTAGCTCTGCATCAATCTCAATAGTAATGGGAACAAATAGATACATGTGTTTAGGTGACACAACACACGTAGGACGTTACATATGATGTGTATTATCACATGTATAGAACGGCATATAGGATATATGTGTCTACTTGTTCAATTTTATACTAGTTTATGTGTTTGTTTGTGCAATTTCAAAGTTCAAAGGCATCGATATCAATTGAGATCAAGTTAAATGACACATTTTTAAAAACTATTGCACTTAATTAAGGAAGTAGTTTAAAGTTTTTCCCAAAGCAATATTCTTTTTCCACCCAAGAAAAAGAAATTAAAGAAAAAACTACAATTACCTACACAATTTCTCTTTGGACATTTTTTTTCAAACAAAAGTTTCAAAATCTTGTTTCTAATTGTTGTTGGATTTGGACAGGGAGAGCAAAGTTCCAATAGACCAAAATTAAAATAAAATTTAGTGATCCAATTGAATTAAAATTAAATTTAGTGATCCAATTGTTCATTGTTAATTGAGTTTCATATGGGATAATTTGATATGCCCAAGGATAGTAATTTTTAGTTGGAAAATTGTATATAATAGCAAACTAATAACCTAAAATAAATGGAGTAGTTAGAGTTTGATTTAATTGTGCTCCATAGCAAACGTTTTGCAAAAAATTGCCAGGCGCCTCTCTCCCAAATATCTCGCTCGCCACGCTCCTCCAATCTCTCGCTCGCTTCCTCACTTTTTATATAAACACAAGTATATAAAAATTATTTCTACTTGTATAAAGCAGAGAAAATTGTATAAATACATATATTTTTGTTCCCCTCTCTCCCCTCTTCCATATCTCGCTCGCCACTCTCCCAAATCTCGCTCACCACCCTCGCCTTTCTCACTTATACAAACAAAAGCGAAATGTATAAATTGTGTTTCTGTTTGTATAAAGCGTGAGAAAATTGTATATACACATGCAAGTACATATATTTTCATCCTACACACTTATAATTATACAATAAAAAAAATACTCCCCTGTCCAGTTTCTTTTGCCTTTCTCTCTTTCTCGTTTTATACAATTTTCAAATTGTATCTAATTTCTCCCTTTCTCGTTTTATACAATTCGATTCAATTGTATATTGCTTGTCAAGTCTCTTTTGTCTTTCTCTCTTTCTCATTTATACAAATTCAAATTATATATAATCGTTCTATACACTTATAATGATACAATTCGTTTTATACACTTCATTTTTATACAGTTATCTGCCCAAGTGTCTTTCTCTTTCTTGTTTTATACACTTCGTTTTATACAATTTGCTTCAACTGTATATGTATAGCGAATTATACAGCTTCTATGTTTGCTATTGAGCGCAATTATGCAAACTTTGCTATAGTATACAAATATGAATTATTTTTTTTTGCTATATGTGAAAGTTGCCCTTTTTAGTTTGAGGATAGGCCATTGCTATTGAAGAGTGTTGAAGAAGATTATATTACTATTGTCCAAACTCCAAACAACGATCCCCATCTTCAAAGTTTAGAGATAAATCCAAACTATTTTAGTTAATTTAAGAACAAATTTTGTCATTTTATGTTGTAAAAAAAGACCCTTCTGTTATTAGTAGGGGGTGTTTGTTGTTCCGTTTGGATTGTTTATTCATTAAAATTAAAATCAAATTAATCTAGTCGGTCTTTTAAAATTTCTAATATCAAATTAAATTAAATGAAAAAAAATTCGCCGTTTGATTATTGTTGGTTTGGTTCATTTTATTTTTTTTTGATTTATTGGGTTTTAAAGTAATAAATTTTTTTAGGACGTGTGTATCTCGATAGACACAAACACCTCATACATAAACAATCCACAAAAAATTATTGTTCGAGTCAATAAGCGATACTAGATTTATCATTACACGAACAAAGTGATTCAATTAAGAGAAAATGTGACTATTTTAGGTGAAGTAGGGTAAGTAACAACTAAATTGAATTTTGATGGACTTGCACTTAGGATTGTTATAGTTCGGCTAAAACGTTGAACTTGTGAAAATTGTAAAGTTAAAAACTTAAATTAATTAAAATTCAACAAAATATTTATATTTTACTTATGAATAATATATAAATATTATAAATTTTGTATATATAATTTATTGATTGAATTTTATTATTTTTGCGAATGTTTTTTTGTAAAATCAAAATAAAATCAAATAGTATTGATTTTTAAAATTTAAAATCAAACAAAATCAAATATCGATTTTTTAATCAGTATGATTTAGATTGTGGTTCAGTTTAAATTTTTAACCATAACCATGAACTGCACTAGTTATTCGTAAATAAGAACATATTTATAACTACGATCAGAGGCGGCTCAACATAGTTCGAGGCCTAAAGCAAAATTTTAATTAGATCTGTATTTATTTATTTTTTAAAATTTTTAGATGTAAATTATTACTTAATATCTTTTTTGTAAATGATTTTCAAATACTTTTTAAAATTATTATTATTTTAAGCAAGATTTTGTCAATTGAACATTGAATACATCATTTTATTGAGAAAATTATTCTATGAATCAAAAATATAGTTCTATAAGTAATAAGCTGATAAATTTTAAATAAAGATAAGAGTTAGAATTATAGAATCTGATTAAAAAAGTTGATAACTTGATTATCCTACTACAATATAAAAATTACGAAGAATAAAAAAATATTTGTAATTTACTTTGTTCAACCCTTTTCAGCTATTAATTCATATTTATGACAGAATATTGCTCTAACTATCAAAGATTTGAAGAAATAGAATGTATAAGGAGTTAAAAAAGATTTTAAAAGATGTGAGTGTTAGCAAAGAATTTTTTTAATTTATATATATATATATATATATATATATATATATA